GTATTGATTGAAACTCTGAATATATTGAATGAACACTGAATATATTGATTGAAACTGAATATATTGATTGAAAGTCTGAATATATGGAATGAACCCTGTATATATTGATTGAAAGTCTGAATATATTGAATGAACCCTGAATATATTGATTGAAACTGAATATATTGATTGAAAGTCTGAATATATGGAATGAACCCAGAATATATCGATTGAAACTCTAAATATATTGATTGAAACTCTAAATTTATTGAATTAACACTGAATATATTGATTGAAACTCTTAATATATTGATTGAAAGTCTGAATATATGGAATGAACCCTGTATATATTGATTGAAAGTCTGAATATATTGAATGAACCATGAATATATTGAATTAAAGTCTGAATATATAAAATGAACCCTGGAATATATTGATTGAAACTCGGAATATATTGAATGAATCGGAATATATTTATTGAAACTGAATATATTGAATGAATCCTGAATATATTGATTGAAACTCTGAATATATTGATCAAAAGTCTGAATATATGGAATGAACCCTGAATATATTGATTAAAAGTCTGAATATATAGAATGAACCCTGAATATATTGATTGAAAGTCTGAATATATTGAATGAACCTTGAATGTTGCCAGTAGTAAGTCGGACTTGTTTCTGGTGAGGGCTTGACTTCGCCAAGGTTGCTCTTTGTCACTGATTCTGTTCATAACTTTTATGGACAGAATTTCTAGGTGCAGTCAAGGTGTTAAGGGGATCCTTTTTGGTGACCTTAGTATCACATCTCTGATTTTTGAGGATGATATGGTCTTATTGGCTTCATCAGATCGTGATCTCCAGCTCTCGCTGGAGTGGTTCTCAGCCGAGTGTGAAGCGGCCGGGATGAGGATCAGTGCCTCCAAATCTGAGACCATGGTCTTGAGCCAGAAACCGGTAGCGTGCCGTCTCCGGGTCGGGGACAAGGTCCTGACCCAAGTGGAGGAGTTTAAGTATCTCGGGGTCTTGTTCACGAATGAGGAAAGAATGGAGCGGGAGATCAACAGGCGTATTGGTGCTGCGCCTGCAGTGATGCGAGCACTGTACCGGTCTGTCATGGTGAAACGGGAGCTGAGCCAGAAGGCAAAGCTCTCGGTTTACCAGTCGGTCTATGTTCCTACCCTCATCTATGGTCACGAYCTTTGGGTAGTGACRGAAAGAACGAGATCGCGGATACAAGCAGCTGAAAAGAGTTTCCTTCGCAGGGTGTCTGGGTTCTCCCTTAGATATAGGGTGAGAAGCTCAGTCATCTTGAAGAGACTCAGAGTAGATTCGCTGCTCCTCCATGTCGAGAGGAGCCAGTTGAGGTGGCTCGGGCATCTGGTTAGCCTCCCTGGTGAAGTGTTCCAGGCATGTCCCACTGGGAGGAGGCCCAGTGGAAGACCCAGGACACACTGGAGGGACTATGTTTCTTGGCTGGCCAGGGAACGCCTTGGGATTCCCCCAGACGAGCTGGCCCAAGTGGCTGGGGAGAGGGAAGTCTGGGTCTCTCTGCTTAGGCTGCTGCCCCTGCGACCCGATCCCGGATAGGTGTCAGAAAACAGACGGATCCTGAATATATCGAATGAAAGTCTGAATATATGGAATGAACCCTGGACATATATTGATTGAAAATTTGAATACAGTATATTGAATGGAAGTCTGAGTGGCCTCAAATAATTCTGGGTAGTGTAGTTTCAAAATGATTGGCCTACAACATATCCTACAATGCTTTTCATCACCAGCAGTGGTAAAAAGAGAASGTGAGGGCAGAAATTTAGTATTTTTCTACCATTGTGTGCTTGTCACAAATAATAGTTTCAAGATGTTTTAAGCAAGAAAGTAGACCTC